TCTAGATTTACTTTCACTACATATCGAAACCCAACACATACCTCCTCAAGTGTCGGTTAAAATCATTTCAACCTCTACAGTGCTTTTTAATTTTTTTCTACCTGTATGTTCAAATCCAACGCATTTTGTACCCGAAACAATCGGCCTTTGGAGTTTGTCCTTAAACAATCCACACAAGTTAGACTCAGCAACATCTATGACTTTGAAGCGTTGATTGAGTTTCACCTTTTCTAAATCTGTCCACCATGTCATTGTAGCATTTGGCTGTCTACCCTGCCCCCCACTGTTTGGTTTGAGAAATGCATGGTGTTTGATAGCCGATGTCATCAATTCTGCACTGTGACAGGCTGTTATACTGAGGTGGCACTGCTTGGGTGGAAAAGTGACTCTGCAAACCCAGGAAGTCCGTACCTCTGCACAGCAGCAATAAGCTCCTTCTCCTTCCTCCTCTGGCTCTCCAGGAGGTCCTCCTTCTCCTGCAGCAGGCGCTGGCTCTCCCGCGACCTCTGCTCCAGCTCGCTGGCCCTGCCCTGCAGCTCGTCGGCCTTCCCCTGCAGCATCGCCAGCTATGGCGCAGAAAAAACAAGCCCACTTTCACCGCACAGCTGCGGCTCCATCGAGAAGGACTCGCACAAATCTCATAACCGTCCGCGGTTTACGAGAAGGACACAGGCAGAACGGGGCTGCCTAGGGATGTCCTCTCCCCTATGAGGTTAAAACATTCTGCATCTCAAAGCAACAAAAATGTCATGAGTTTTGCTGACCTCTGGTGGTGCAAAGCTGCATTACAAGAGTGTGAACACCAGCAAAGTGGGCTCTGAGATCAAGAACAAATCTGTGACAAAGCTGAAGTATAACGTCAATGAGAGGGACAAACTAAATATATAACCACCCCTCATCGTGGGTATCAGGGTCCAATGTAAAGCCCCTCAATATATTAAGGAAGGCAGAAATACATCTACATATCCTTAATGAATCAGGAAACATAAAAAAGGGATTTTCATGTTGTGAACATTTTCAATAGAATTTTATAATAAAGTACAAAGCAATTAAGTGCACTATTTACTGTATGCTGCAGAGCAAAAGGTGAAAGTACCCAGCTGTGTATGACACCATAAATAACAACAGTTCCTTGTTACTGTATCTTAGGCATCAGTGATGACACTTTGACAGACTGCAAAACTGAAGCTGCTTGCATGCCAGGCAGACACATCCCTTGTCAAGAGCCACTTGCACAGTTATGACTACTGCCATTCAGAACCAATGCAGCTGTCTGCTTTATCCTGAAATGCCCTCCAGGCTTGTGGGCTCCAGTGTGTTCATGACTTTACCTGCTGCGCCTGGTTCTCAACATCTTCCAGGGAGGGAAGGTCAGCCAGGTATTTCTCCAGTGTCTCTATCCGCTGCTGTTTTTCCTGGCTTTGCTCACTTTCCCTTTGACATTTCTTCTTCAGACTGCTAATATATTTGTCTCTTGTCTTCAACTACAAAACATGAAAATGGGCAAAGGTATTCAGAAACTTCGGAGAAAACCTCTCTACAAAACTGTAACACTTCACAAAGCTTGAAAAACATTTAAATTCAGTTGTTCCACCTTTGTAATTGAGAGACATAACAATTGCACAGAAGCACAATAGATGTGGGCGCAATTTGAGACGTGTTAGGAATATATTCTGAATTTACAACGTTCCTCATAGTTTTAAAGCAGTTACAGTTAGTTTAATTTAAGCTGTGACAAACTGCTACAAATATAGATCATAAAGCTTCTGACGTCACTTGGTTTGCAGTACCTTAAATGTCTGTATTGAATAAAAGCTCGGCCTGTATTTTAAACTGCATAATTCCAACTCATTTTATCATCTTTACTGAGGTACCAATTAAGAAAGAAAAGAATAAGAAGTTAACAGAAAAAATATGAAGAGAATATCGTTACAATCTAGGATTATTACAGTCTAACATTTGCAGGTCTTATTATTAAACATCTCATAACCAAAAAGGAGAGTCTGAAAACAACAGGTAGAATCTGAGGCATTTGCACAGCTACAGGTGAGTTTCAAAGCAGTTCAGTTTAATTTAAATTGTGACAAACCACTACAAATATAGAACATAGAGCTTCTGACATATCACATGGTTTAGGATAGGTAAACACAGATGATCAAGGGGAATTTTCTGGTTTGCTCAGGTTAATTAACTTGGTAAATCATTACAGTCCTCATTAGTCCTATAAATGCATAAAGATGAGACAGAGCTAGAAGGCAGGGAAGACAGAGAGAAGAAGGAAGACCACCACCCTCTTACTCTAAGCTTGTTGCATTCAAAAGAACCTTGTTCAGACCAGTCTTGGGGACAAGATTATGGCTACATCATTTGAACTTGGTAAAAAATGATGTTACCAGACAGCTTTTTGTATCCTGTTTATTTTAGGGAATTCTGATCATCTTTATTGTGGAATCCTCAGGCTAAGAACGTTCTCTCCTATTCTGGTGATGCATTTTTAGAATAGGGAGCTACATTTCCATTTATTGAAGGAAGGGAGGTTTTCAGATTACAGAGGCAGAACTTTGTGTTTGTGGGCCTATAGAACTTAGGTCTCTGAAAAGCATAGTTTTGAATATAGTGTAATGTTTAGTAGTAGTTGTGTGCAATGTTGTGTAGTTGTGTGCTATTGTTAGTTGTAAATGCATTTTTCTGTTCAAGGTTTAACTTGGATTTTACTACTCTTCCACCAGCGCTGTGTCTCACGTGCCTCACATTTAATATACCACTCAGGTTTTATCATTTCTTGACCCTCTCTTTTGTAACAATATAATAGTCATGAAACAATATATCGTTACAATAACATGTAACAATATAATAGTCATATCATGCAACATACCATAAAATATCATGTATCATGAAACTTCCTTGTATCACATCCATCACAAGCACACAGACACACTTGAAATATGATGAAGATGACATTGCTAACAGCGGGATTACTTAATAGTGAAGACTAGACAAATAAAAAACACCCAGTCATAGCTATACTAGTTATAGTGTTCGAGAGCTCATTTAAAACTCCAATGTAACGGACTATAAGAAAATGGTTAAGTCAGCTCCACTTTAAAGCAAGAAAATCATGGTCACCTTCTCTTCCAGTTTTTTAATCTCCTCTGTGTACTTCTGTGTGTTTTGCTTCAGGAATTCACTGAACTGAGTGACCTCCCGCTCCGCAGTGGCAAGCTGGCGTTCTACCTCTCCGTTTTCACAGTGGAGAGAGTTTGGTCTCTCTGAACACTGAGCTTGCAAGGGCAGGTTCCCAAACTGCGACTCCTGTGAAAAGAACAGGTCCAGGAGAAGGTGGTTTAACAAGTTTAGATTGCTTGAATGACGCCTAACCTATTGGAAGCATGCATGACGTACTTCAAATGTTACACAAATTTAATCCATGAAAGCAGCAGTGAAGTGTTAATCAAGAACTAACTTTCAGATGAACCTTTACAGTCCACTCTCTTAAACATGATCTGTTGTTGAACACAGTCTGCACGAAGGCATTATCTGAGTTTAATGCTCGATGAAGGTGAAACCTTAAAGTTAATGATCTGCAATACTGAAGTTCAAAGGAGTAGGATCCAAAATGCTAAATTACTATATTTATAGAAATATCTTAACATTCACAAACTAAAATCAATCAGGTGCAAACAAACAGCAGGATTTACCACGTGTTTGTGCTGAGTGACAATGTCCTATTCTGAATCACTGCCACAGCGAATGGTGCTATACCTTCATTTTAAGGAGGTAGGGGTCCTCACAGCTCCTGCACTGACCCTGGATCACCTGCTGGGCTCTTAGCTCATTTTCTCTGATCTTCTCATGCAGTTGAAAGATCTGCTGCTTCTGCCTGCAACACGGAGGAAGAACTCAACAGTTATGAAATGATGCAAAGTGTTTTGTTCACAATATACTGTATTACTATTCACACTTTCAGTAAACTTTTTCTTTTGTAATATGAGAAATCTGAAATGTATTAAAACCCTTCTACTTTAATATTGCTACTTCAATCAGCTTCATGCTTTTTACTTAGCAGTGAAATCATCTTTAATTAGCACAGTGCACTTATTTTGAATGCTGTTTTGCCTGTTGTTAGAATTGTGTACTTTGAGATGACAGTTTGGAAATGTTACAAAACCTCAATAGGGTTATATACTGTATATTATATATATCAAAGTCATGTTCATTCAAAACATGAAAAGTGTTTTGCTAATAAAGGCTATATCAGAAAGATACAAATATAAGGCAAACTTTGTGTGTCTCATGAAGAGCAAGCTGGGATATGCAAAAAGATCATTCCTAATGCAGGAAATTGTAAAGGGTTAATAAAGTGATGTTAAGTAATGTTAAAAATAAACTGTTTTAAAATGCGTGTACATTAATGTTTTTAAGCAGCCCTGTGAACTTTTGTCTTCTTCTGAAACACAAAGATATTAAAGTTCAATTTGCTAAGAACAATAAATCACATTCTAGTGTCCAAGGAAACTTCAGATCCATTTATGGCACTAAAAAAGTGACTGCAAAATGGGAAGGAGAAAAAAGAGAAATAAATATTATTTCTGATTTGCAGCACCACCTAAAGGGAATGCTAGTATAAAATAATTAGCTTCTCTGAACTGTTTTTTGTCGCTAATAGCAGTAAAGCTTTGAGAAAGCCAATCAGAAAATCAAATACAGTAGTTCATAGGTTTATTGTGGTCATTTACTGTTTACTTGACATAAGAACAATCACTCAATGATTAAATAATGATCTCAAACTATGAAGCCTAAAGTAGAAAAGCTTCCACATTATTACACATCTGGAGAGTTTTGTTAAAGGCTTCTTCTTGTATTACATTCCAGTTAAGTATACTTTTGAAAGCAGATAGTTTTGAAACAGAAGTATCAACTTAACCCCACAAACTTGTCAAAAGTCACTTTGAATTGTTCATAACAATTGTTATGAAAAACACATTAGAGGCAGACTGTTTTCAACAGATAGTCAATTTAAAAGCCTTTACTGATTATGTTTATATTCAAGGGCTAATTCAGTGTCATCCTGCAATGCTTCTGTGGATAATTATTGGTATTCATATTATTTCACTAAAAGACATTTATAGCACTATGCATCCATGATTTTATTTTTAAAAATGAATATTGATTTTGAAAACTGATTAAATGGTTTTGGCATAATTGTAATGAATTAATCAGTCAAGACTGACCGTGATACACCTCATTAGTGAGAGAGTTGACTGGGCACAGGTGATGGGCTGATCTAACATGTTGAATGGGGTCATAAGAAGGGAAGCAAAGTCTTCTCGGTGCAGAATGATACAATAATTGCAGAAACGGAGACATATCAATGGGGAGCTCTAGGTCTAGGTCATGGCCTGGGCAGGAGTGTTGACTCACTACAAAAGTCCACCTTTGGCAACCTGACTGCTCAGTGACATTGCTCAGGTCCTGAGACCTCAGATCTTGCCCTGAGTGCCAGGCCAGCACCTGCTTTCATGCTGCTCTAGCAATATGAGAATGTGACCGGGCTGTGGGGGCTCTATGTGTCAGACTTGCGCCCTGTTGAATATCTGTGGGATGATACTGTATGTGGCACCTCAGCAACCGGGGTTCAGCAACCAGTCACCAGGCACTGAATCCCACTGCAGAAGACTGGGACAGAATCCCACAAGACAGTGTCTGCAAACTGGTGCAAAGTTTGTGATTCAGATGTACAGCTTGTAGTTCTTCCAACAGTGGCGATTCATACTACTAGCAGCAGATCCTCGATTGATTAAACCCATTAATGACTAATGTTACTTGGAAAAAGATATTTATGTTGGTTATGTCTGTCTGTTCAATGAAATGAAAAATTTTGTCAGTATTCTTAAGAATATCTTCTTGTATTTGTTGCAGTCAAGAGTGATAGGTTTCTCTTAATCTCTCAGTATATCATTCCTTATTCTAGTTTCTCTCTCAGCCCAACAAAGTTCAGTGACTACCATTTTAATTATCTCTCTTTAATGCCCAAATAGTTTAACATAGTTTCCTGGTGGTGTAGTACTGCTTCTGTGCAGTGCTTTAATAAGTCGTGCAGTTATTGTATCATGTATCCATATAGGGCTGAAATTCAAAGAATGTTAAGGCTCTGAGTCAACGGTTTTGTAAACAGAATTTCACTTAGCCAATTTGTCTTCCCTCTCAAAACTTTATTTGGAATCATGCAGCCTGCTGTGAAGGGTTATTGGGTGAAAGCAACAGAGCGTGATTGTATGTGCAGTTAGTGACAAGAACCTGTCTGCTCAGGGTTTAAAAAGCATAGCTGTTTATTGAAACCGGGTGTTCTGTGCCTCTTCAAACAGCAGCAGTACTACAGTGCTGACATTTGGTTCTTCGGTTTCCTAGAGGCTAGAGAACATTGTGAAGCAAGAGGACAGAGCGTCTGTCAGTGTTGTCTCCGTGTAGAACTTATTCCTTTTCTTTTTCATACTTTAGGTCTCTTTCAGGCTGAGTAATTGTAAAACAGCAGTGAACTTATAAACCATTGCTGCTTCTCTTAGTACTGCTAATAATAATTCCATGACAGTAATATATTTGCATTCATAAAATAATGTGTTGTAGTTTCAAATGTGTGCTGACATTTCTGGTCAATATTAATAAGAAAAAAAGATTTGGAATAGAACAAATCTTCCAGAAATGGATGCATTGCAGCTCCATCTTGTGGTTGTTTGTTCTTTTCACTGAAGTAAAGACCTTTCATGTAGAAATTACTTCTTTTTTGACCAAAATAAAAAATGCGGTGAAATGTTCAAAATGGCAAAGAACTTGTCCATTATGTCTGAGTACCATTGAAAAACCTTCCACTACAGCTTTTTTAAATATGATAAACTATCATTCCCTGCATTTCTACAGCACTTTACGTGCCAAAGGAAGGGAACTACATCACTATCTATTGAAGTGCAAGGCAGGTGAGGCAGTGTGAAACTGATTCACCAGACGTTTTTAAGAGAAACTTTAGGAAGACCAGATTGCAGGAGCCAAGAGTGAAGTTTAACGCCTCAACTAAAGGACAGTAGCTCTTGGAGCTCAGTGTCCCTGGACCCTACGATGGGGCACTGCACCTCTGCTATTCTTATGTGCCTTCTAACTGGATACTCCAGTAATTACTTCACTATTCAAAGTCACATTCATTGTACAGTGAAACATACTGTCTTCTACAATAGTTTGTGAGGAACAGTTTACAGAAGCCGGTGTGAACAGCAGAAATTGTGAACACTGTATTACAACATGATGATCATAATAACAGAAAAGAATCAAATACTGCATGTTGTTTATAGGAACAGAACATGTGGTAAAGATGAAGATACTTCTTTTTTTTATTGTGATATTACAACTCCTTCAAGGAGATATCCAGATCAACTGGGGTGTTATCCACATCACCTGAAGATGTAGCAATCATCACAGAGTTAGGAGAGAGGAGATGGCACTGGGGTTATTGAGATCACCTGGAGTTGTGGCAGTCACCACAGAGTTAGGGGAGAGGAGATGGCACACTGGGGGTTATTGAGATCACCTGGAGATGTGGCAGTCACCACAAAGTTACAGATGCAGCCATTCAAAGTGCGCTGTACACACACGTACCAGAGGTAATTGGCTACGGCGTCGCGCATTGTGACGCACGATGACGCACGGTACCGCGGTACGTGATTGCTTGACCGACAGGGGCACTCGTGGTCCGTTGGTCTGTCGTAGAAAGATTTACAGTAAACGTCTTTACTGTGCCCGTTGTAGTATTGAATATTTATATGGAATTTATATGGAATTTTACCACTGAAGGGAAATCTTAGTACCTGAGCATAAAAAGAATAGGAGCATACTGCAACGCGTGTGAAGGCCATAAACGATATTAATTTTGGTACTTTAAAGAAAACATACACACCAGTATTCCATTTCTCCCTAAACAATTTAAGCATCGAAGTCTTTAACTAACGTGATACTGGAGTCAACAAGCATACTTTTAGAATTTGGTTAAAAGGGAATATAATATGGAATCGCGTATCTAAAGAAATTAATAACGATATAATTATATTCATGTTGCAAAAAAACTGCAACGGACATAAAAACTCCCTTGCTTTTAACAGAGCGTTCCATAATTTCCAACTTATGTTAGTCTTTACTCTGTTAAGACATTAAATATACATGTACATACTGTATACAGTACAGTTTGCATACGGTAATATGCTTATGTTCCTAAATCAATCTCTTTTATGAGTATGTGAAAGGCATGGTGAATCGATTCTCAAAAATTACTGTACTTTGCATGATTGGAAACAAATGCGTGATTGCGAAATGCTGTGGTGTTACTTTTACAAAGACGGTCAATGAAAAAAAGAATGTTGACCAGGGCAATACTTTGAGTTTACACTTACAGCTTGTCCAAGGTCATTCATTATTAATACCATTAGTAATATCTTCGTTAAAGACTTTGATGGCGACAGCCCAAACATGAGAGGTTGAGCTTAATTAGCTCCACCTTGCGGAAATTCTGGATACTATTATTTTGCTTGCGGTATTATAGGAGAATTTACGGTAACTAGCGGTATTTACCGGTAACTCGCGGTATTTACCGGTAACTCGCGGTAGACTGCGTACAGCGCACCGGAAAATAATGCGGTATCGCCCGCACATTTTGAATGGCTGCATCTGTAGGAGAGAGGAGATGGCACACTGGGGGTAGCAGTGGTGGGTAGAGAGGGGAACAAGTATTGGCACAGGAACATTGTAATCAGCAATTGTCTCATATTTCTTTTCATGCGATTATAGATGTTCCTATATGGAACTGGAGTGCTGTCGATTTTTTTTAAAGAAAACACTGTCGATTTGTTTGGGCCCGCATGTCAGCCACTGAAGTTCTCCTGCTGGTGGCAGGCTGACCCAACATTTCTGTCTTCTGCACAAGAGTCACCACTTTCTTCTCCCTCTTCAGCACTTAAGTGTTTTCATCATGACTTGTTCTGGGAGGTGTGACTGTGAGAATACTAGCGCATCACTGGAGGGAATAGAGTGAGGTTCGAGATGCATGTTGTGTGGACGTGGCTGCATGAAAAATTAAAACATTGTGTATAGTGGAGTTTCATAATAACAACACAACTTATACAGTTTCGGATGCCACTTGCAAATACCTAAAACCACAAATACTAAATTTGAGAATAACAAGGGACATGCATCTGGCCAGGTATATTTTAATTGTATTGCTTTTTCTCCACATAATCTAACTGTACTTATTCTGTCACCAATGTGGTAAGTACATCTCATGTTTTATGTCCATTTCATCCATAAGCACAGAAGGTGCTTAATTTCCTATACAGTTTCGTGTACATAGCAAATAATCTTTATTTTGACAAACCCCCTTGCAGTCCTCTGCCAGCCGTAATGCTTATGACTCTGTACAGAATGAGGGCATTTTCATGAAAACCCAGGAGCGGTGTGCTACTCTGGCACACCTGTTCCCCTATAGACAGTAGATATTCACCGGATCATGTCTGGGATGCTCACCGATCAATCACCAGCTCCTTCTGTCGCAGAAGGCCCTCTTTGATTTTCATGATGGTGTCCACTTGAAGAGGAGCTCCTCCACAAAGCTATAGAAAGAAAAGCATACGTCAGTCCTTAATAACAAAAGCAAATTTAGTTACCAAAAGCTTGAAACTAGTACAAAAAAATACAATTATATTTTTCTATTAACTAATCTCTTAACTATCTTAGCTATCACATTCGTTGAGGAAGATAACTACAGTTTCTAGCCTTAAACAAAGGATACTTGAAAATAAATATGGAAAATATTCAAGATTTAACCAAATTGATAGATTGATGGCAACTGTGTAAACAAATCTCAAACAAAAAGTAGGAGCTTCATACACAGCTCGTGGATTGCACACAAAACATATTTGGAGGTTTTTAATAATGTATTGTAATTTTTAATCATATCTATTTATATAGTCGTAATTACTGTATATGCAAATATGTATTTTTGCACTAATTAACCAAAAACAAAATGTGATGAAAATCAGCTAGAGCTATATATTTGTACATGATGCAACATAAATTGCATCCCTTGAGTGTATACTGTACATACAACTTATTTTTATTTCTATACTGTATATGTGCGTGTCTGTGAATGTATACACACACTGTTTTAAATTTCAAGGATAGCTAGATTCCAATAATGCATCCAGTTGCATTACTATTGCAAAGTGACAAATGCCATCATTTCTACAGACCACTGCAGAGATGCCAGACTGCTAACACAGTGCTGATTTACAGGATGCCATAAGAAAGCTTTGTATCCCATGTGATGTCACATCTACAGGAAGCATTAAGAAACACACTGAACTCTTTCATCTCTGCAATGCAAAGTTTTTTCTCCAGGAGATGTTTTGAAACTGACAACAAAAAGTCAGCCAGTAAGGATGGGATTTTTCTCTTCTGTGAAGCAACTTCTCAGTTTTTTTTCCAGCCACATAGTTTCCGGTTTGAAGTATAAAAACTTCCTATACTTTCAAATACCAAAGCCTAATTTGGGATTCAACAAAAATAACCTATTTGTATGAAGGCAATTATGATTCAAGTTGCCAAAGTACTATGTATTTTTGTTAATCAAATATAAAGTAACTTTTATGGGCTTTCCAAAATAGCTACATTATTTTTCCACTCCCTCTGTCCAAGTTGACCTACAGCCAAGCTAAAAATACTTTCCTAATAATGCCCATATATCAGCTGCACACTTAGCTCTCTTGAAAACATGGTGTTGAATGCCTCTAACTGGCTTTGTGTCGCTAGCATCTTCTGATGACAAGAACCAGGTGGTGTAACCACATCAATGGTTACAATACTGCTTCACATGGCCAGGGATATTTATAAACCTCATCCTGTAGCTAAGCGTTAAAGACGCCTATCAATCCTCCAACCTATCCACTCCTAGAAAAAAATTGGAAGTCATTAATAATTTAAAATACATTTAAAATTAGATGCTCCACTGCAATAATTGGGAAAGTGTCCAATTATTATTTCAGTGTGCATCTGAGAAACTATCCAATAGAACCTAGCAATCCTTTCAGTGTCCTGCTTCAGCACTTGGAACTGGAAGAAACTTCTTCAGTGCTGCTAGCTTTCGAAGAAGCAATTCTTTTTAAAGGGCACATAGTAGAGTAACAGAACATTTAGAATTTGTTGCCGAGATCCATCTGAAATCCAGTTAAAGGTTCTAATGAAATTCCAAAAAGCACAGCAATGTCAAGCACATAGTACAAGGACTTTAAACAGCCACTTTTTAGCAGTATAAAGCAGGTTAATAGTTTTAACTATTAAATCTAAAAACCATGTTCCCACTGAAAAGAATCCCTTCAGTTATCAAATGTTTTTAATGGAGATAAGTAAATACACAGATGATCCCCTTCCTCTTCCTATCTGCGGTCTTGTCATATTTGTATTTAGCAGGCTGCTACTGTATTTGATTGTCACCCAGCAACAGAACAGCAAATGTTTGGACACCCCACAAAAAGATTTTTAGAAAGCAGATTTATTTTACATTTGCTTTGCACTTACGTCTCTGTGTATATATCTCTGTAAAAGAGAGGCCGAAAGAAATAAAATCAGTGATTCTGGGATTTTCAAACCACTCTATAAACAGTATACACAACATTACAAAATTACACAGGTCAAGGAAATGTGCTATTGTAAGGTTCACAAGAAAATATATACAGTAACTCTCTACGGACACAGTAAAAAAACAATTGCTGTTTTAGTTCATGGAAAACCCAAGTGACAGGAAATGTCAGTGCAGCGATCGTCACATGCATAGTATTTAATTTAAGACTTGGAATGCTTGGCTCCAGTCCTCTGTGAAGTTACTTTATCTACAGTGTCTCTTTGTTAGTGTGAATAGAGTTCTGCTTTACAGAATGATAATTAAGATATTCTTTTAGACAGGCAACCCATTAGAATTTGAGTACAAAAAAGCATCTTTGTGCATTCCGCTGTTCACAACACATTATATAGATAATCTAAGATGTAAGATTTTCCATCTTTGTGCACTGGAGAACCTTTTCACCAAAATAGTCTACACAGCTCTAAGATTGCAAGACAGGTATATTATATATAGATATTCTTGGAATGAGAGGGCTTTGTTCAGTTTAAAACAATTTATTGAATGGAAATTGCAGTGTTAAGCCATATTTATTTGTTTAGTAACTACAATATGCATTAAAACTAATTTTCAAGCAATCTCTACTTTGCATTTTATGTATCTTAGAAGACCTTTTCATAGCAATATTAAAGTATGCTTTTGTAACATAAACACTCCTGGAAGTTACGTGTCATCACTCTTTTGTGCTCTTGGTATTCTTAATGTAAATGATCCTATTCTAAGTCACTGTTTTGATCATATGAAAGGAGATTTTGTTAGGTTTGTCAGTTAAACAGCATTTATCTAATGTAACCAGTCTGCCTATGGACTGTAAAAAAAGAAAAGGGGGAAGGGTAGGCAAGAGAGGAAAACCAGTGGATTGTGATCACTAAAAAAGTACATACATAGGCATTTCACTATCATCAGTAATCCTGCAGAAAAAGTAAAAGATAATACATTAAGGACACATTAAACATCAAACATCAACCATCTAGCCCAAATGGATCCATGTTCATCTAAATGGTTCATCTTAGTCTCCCTGAAGAATAAGAGACAGAACAGAGCCTTTGCTCATGTCGCCATGCTGTCGGGTCGACTAAGGCTCATGCAGATTTAGTTTAACCTTAGGTGAAATATCTGGGGCATAGCTTTCATTCTCAACCCACTGATAACACGCTCTCTATTAGGAACCTCCAAGCTGGAGTCATGGTCACATCAAGGAAACTGTGTCACAGCTCAAATGGAGTCTGTTTTCATTCCGCCAGCTCTCCAGTGCCACTACTCTGACACTGCATTTACCAAATTTCTCCTGCAGTACTGTTCAAAATGCAACAAACACAACAGAATACTCTACAGAGTTAGCAGCACTCCTGAAATATGAATGTGATTTTATTATGAAAAACAATCACAAGACTCTGAATATACGAACTGCGTTCTAGTGCAGTAACAATGCAGAGAGTACGCCCTTGTGTAAAGAGAGACTTCTGTAGGAAAAGATGTTACGATCACTGAGTGAGTGTTACATTTAAAGTCCAAGGAAAAACCTGGAACAGAGAAGATGTTTACTCAGAAGACAGTCAGTGGTAGTTCTGGAATGCTGGCTGGCCAGTATAAAAGCAAAGCTCATATAAATTTTAACAGTATAACAACCAACATACTCTAACACAAGATGGTGCACAAGATGAAACTGCAGAGAGTTAAATAAGGTAATTCAAGCACTAATGCTGCATCAGACTAATGTAAAACATTAATAATTAATACAGCACAAAGGTGAGCAGAAGAAGTGCATACTGTTCAGAGGAGCACTCTTTTCCCCTGGGGCATTCCCTCTAAAATCATAGGAAGGTCTTGAATTCAGATATTTTTATCCGGTTTCAGAGCTAATGAGACATTCTACAGGTCTCGGAGACAGTGGAGAAACCCTTAGGAAGGAGCAGAATGAGAGCAAGACTAAGACAAACCCTTAGGAAGGAGCAGAATGAGAGCAAGACTAAGACAACAGCATGAGTGACTGTCAGGGACTGCCTCAGGCAAAGCCAAGAGACCAGGTGTCAGCCCATTGACATCCTGTAGGCTGTAGGGCTCAAGGGGCTCACAGCTCCAGCCCTGGAGGGCCTCGATGTTTCCTGTTTTCTTTCCACTACAGCCCTTAATTACTTAACTCATTAATTAGTGAACCCTTCCCCCTTCAGTTCTGCAGATTCAGCGAGATCTGTAAAACCTGCTGGACATTGGCCCATGTGACCAGAATTGGGCTGTGACACACTGGGCACCACAGGGGCAAACAGCAGAGGAGCCATCATCAGAGGCCACTGGAGCAAACCAGGAAAGTTGTAAGGTGGCTCTGGATCAGAAGGAGTGATCTGTGGGAGTCAGCTCAATGCCTCTTGGGCACAAACTGTGATGTGTTCAGACTCCACTGTGCTAAAACACTCTAAACACCTTCTGACACCAGGTCACATCAGTGTTAAGCATCAAGAGATGTTGACTAGTATTGTTCTGTACAGCAACTTGAGATGAAAGGAGCTATATAAAACTTAATTTCAGTTCACTTAATTTCTCTTTTGACAGCACAAAACTCATCCATTACCAAAGTCATGAAGTGCAATTTCCATTTCCTGATGGAAATGATTAGATGAGCTGCTAATAATCATTGTCATGGGACTTACAAGGAAAAATATACAGCAATATGTATAGATATAGCCACCAGGTTTGTCTTGTAACTCTTCTGAACATTTAGTGTTTTTGCTTTTAAACATTTTCTTAGCACTCAAGGGTTTGCTTTTTAGAAATATGTGTTAGATACCAACATTTCATCTAACTACCTAATCATAGATAAAATTATAAAATAATTTAGAAAAAAATAAAGAAAAGATTACACGTCCAGAGAATGCCCACAAATCCTGTATTTTAAGGTATGTGGTTATAAGCTGCAATAAGGCTCAATAATTCATTTCACAAAATTTCTGGCAAGACTGAGACATGGCTCTTACCATGTCACATAACACAGCTAATCTCCTTGCATTTCCTAGAATGTTATCTCTGTCTACTCTTCTACTACAATCCTCCAGACACCTGCTTTTCAGCACACAGTTCCTGTTTCAGGCAGACAAGCTGCCAATAAGTCGATTTCTCACACATCATACTCAGAACAGTTTGGTAGAAGAATCAAAGAAGTACTCAAACATAAGATGTAACATTAGCTGCTCATAATATAATGTAAGGATATGTATAAATGTATACAAATTTATATACAATACAATTATATACAATGTATATAAATGTGTATAAATGTAAGGATATGTTTATATACTCGTCTTGTATATGTATTATATATATATACTGTGTGTCTTGTATTATATATTTCAGTTATACAAGATCAAGATCAACAGAAAATTTAGCTAAAGCATGAAGGAATCAGCCATGATTCACCAAAATGGCCATGTGGAATTGTAAATGCTATGATACACACTTTTTTTATATCTGTGGATTTTCTGTTTTTTTTTGTTGCTGTATAATGTCTCGGTGTTATAATCAGAAGAGTGTTAAATTGCTAAGATTTCTTTACCAGAACTCCTGAAATATTTATAGGGATTTACATTTTCCCCACTGTTTCCTCTTAAAGCTAAAACCTCGGATTTATTCTGTATCCAAAGTTACACCTTCAAAGGATCGATATAATCAGATATCACAAATGTTAGAAGTCCAGGTCACATTTCCTATCAGAACAACTTTTCTTGGAATGGAACCAGGAAGAAGGGAATCCTGAAGAGCCTGCTGCAGTACGGGCTTTTTCAGCCATCAGGATGAAAGCAATTCCCACAGTAGGCCCTATCTTAACTACATAAATACCAACGAGAACAAGAGCAAGCACAGACTGAGCTCAGCTGCCACTCTCTCATTATCAGATTGGAACATAAAACAGACTTCGTGCACAGCTCTGCCTTGTCCCTGAAAACAGCAGAAGAGCCACAAATAACCAGGGACCTGGGTACAGAAGACACAGCAGGTGTTAGGATGACTGGTGCACAGCACTAATCTCAATAATTTAGTCAAACACAGGCGCATTATACCCAGGGGCTGAAGATGCATCTCCTTTGCCTTACTACACACACCAGAGCAACCAACTATTTCTTCCTGTTTCTTTCCTCACATACCATGCTTTGAGCTGTCGAATACTATTATTGCAAAGAGGAAATTAATTCCAATGGAAAACACTGCAGAGCTAGATTAACTGATGTCTACAAAAGATGAGACAAGATTATTGCTATTTTAACAAGCCTCCTTACAATGTCACCACATGCCTCAGATCCTGGCTGAAAACTGAAGTTGGTAAAAGCAGTTGTATGGAAAGAAATGAATTCTGAGTGATTACATCCTAAAGGTAAAGACATGGGTAGCACCCCTCGTTCAGCTGTGAAAACAATTTTTTCTTTTATTTAATACTGAAATTACCCATCAGTTAGCCTGAAATTAGGTCTAACCAGTTTTAATAACGGCTTGCAGTTACAGCAGAGCAGTGTGAATCACAGAACATTACAATAAACAAAGCTATGTAAACCAAGCTCCAGACCTATTGTAATTACAATCCACTAAATCCAGAGATGTTACAATATATTAAATACAATTTTAATTACATACAGTATCTTTAATGTTTTACCGCTATTCAAACAACTGCTTGCATCTCCCTTGCTTAAGCCTACTGCCCATCTTAAAAACCTTTGGAACAGCTGTTTTTAACCCACTTTATTAATTAGCTGTGACAGGTGTATACTGCATATGCGTGTTTATTTGGTATTAGTTTTATTATTGTTTCCCTGGGAATAAACAGAACGTATGGCTTAACGAACACCTAACACCATGTTGCAAAATATCATTTCATCCAGCTGGCGGGTTCTCTCTCTCGTCCTGAGCTGAGTCAGCTGAGCGAGGGAGACTGAGGACTCTAAAGAGCATCCAGTGATGATTTAAAAGCTATACAATACAAGATCGCCTTAGCCGTGCACCTTCATTACAGTAATAGCAGTGGTAAAACAACTCATTATTCACCATTTGTCACTTAAACGTCTAAAATAACACCAGGGCAAAGTCAGAACATCATTAACATGTCTGAATGGCACAATAAGAAACACTCTTAAGGCTTTTTTTTTTAACGGTAAGTAAGGTACAGTAAAAACAAGTCAAACCTCCTTCTAGTATAAGTACTTGTTTAGCATTAACTGTAAGTCTTTTTTTTTGCAAAGCAAAAGGTCCTTTTCACACTTTAATTGAAAACAAATACAAACATCATGCTTAGAAAACATAAAAATAAGGGGCAATAAGGGTTTTGTAGAATGAATGAGTATTGTTCAGTGGAGGTGCTTCAGGAGTTAGAGCAGCTCACTTGTCAAGACTCGTAATGTACCAGCTCTCAGTCGAAGGGGGGACTGTAAGACAACGCTCTAGGACTTAATGTGTGCAACTCGGATTACGCATTGCATTAAATTGTCACCTTCTCATTCATTGTAGCTCGAACATTATGCAACTGGTCTTCCATTATAAAGACGGCAAAAAGAATTCCTCTCATGTGTGTTAGCATAGCTGGGACAATGCGAAAGACCACTGCCTGCCAACAACAGCAGTGCTCTAGCCAGAGAAAACAGAGTAGTTTATCCTCCTGTTATGTACCCATGTTTGAGTTCTGCCCTTCTACTCCAAGTGCGTCGAGCAAGTCATTCTAAAAATGTGATTTTGGAACTTGTTTTGACTTAAGAGAGGCCAGCTAAACTCCATCTAAGGAAGTGTAAGCTGGAATAGCAAACTCCTTTTGCTTAAGAGCTTTGTGACTGAAAATCTCTAGAGGTTTGTTGGCACCATGTTTGCATATGTACACTGATTTACAAGAAAGGGGAAACACAGAGAGGGAGGCCTTTTACTTTACCAACCCACTGGAATACTGAAGTCGACACAAGCAGGTCAACACCAATCTCCTATGTGCTCTAGTCTAACATTTAGAATAACAAAGACTCAGGGCCGATAGTGACACGTCAGAGCTAGTTGTTTACAAAGATTGACAACTAATACAGAGGCTTCAGAAATATTAAAACATGTTTTCAAAAGTGAAGAATGGCTATAATACTGTACATCCATAGTCAAATACAAAGATATGAGATATTCTATGATTTATGCAAAATACTTTTTAGGATGATATTTTTACATTCTATGTAACTAGATTTTTGGCAGGCAGGACTCCCTGACGTTAGACAGTTCATATCAGTAACATCACTGTGTATCAGAAAGAACTGCTGCCGAACACAAACATTAGTGACAAGTTATAGTTGTCTTAGTGCTAACCCTTTAAAAGTTTTTATAATCCTAAAAATATTTTGAAAATGCTTTATCAGCAGCATATAACTGAAACGTATTGCTTTAAACACAGACAGATATGCTTAATTAATTTAGCTCTTGGTTACATCCCCAAGAAATTGATTTAAGGCAAAAACCTAAATTCCGTGAAAGGGAGATTATACATCTCCAGGACAGGCTGTTGAACCCCTTTTGCTTACGTTTCCAAAAACTCACGAACTCAAGCACAGATTAATATTATAAATGTTAGAAAAAACAGATCAAGTTGTTAGCTTCTGAAAAAACTTTTCTGGAGAAGATAATTTTATTTTGGAACTCAGGCATTTAAATGATTGACTTTATTGTAAATAATAACAAGTGAAATCAAGATACTGCATTGAATGTACTTAAGTTATACTTTTTCAAAACAGGTGGACAGAAGCCCTGAGGTGCTTTTCTCACAGAAAGCAGTAGAACAACTTATTTGATCTCATGGCAACATCTGAACTTCTTTGTCAGAGCTAACCCTAGCAGTAGTAGCAATCATACCAAATGAAATGCAAATGGTTGAGTACGCACTGATCCTGTTCCAAAGGAAAATAGCACCAGACTCTTAAAATGAGGTATGTATGGCAACAGCAAACAGGTCGTGAGAGAAACAGAGTCCCTCTGTGATCACCTGGAGCCAGAGCTGGCTGCCAGCTCTGACAGACTGTGTCCAATCCGTGTTGCCAGGGGGCTGGATAAACAGCAAAACCCCTCCTTTACTCGGGGCGCTGCTCTCCCCCGCCTCCTGGTTCTGTTCCCATAAACTCTGTGACATAGTCAGACAAGCAGCCAGAGAACCTCTGGGTCTGTTGGACCAGGGCGCTTTCCCACAGTCCGCTGAGCTGTGTGTCCGCGATCGGTCGGCCAGAGCAGGAGGTAAGACAAGCCATCCTCCTCACACCACACGTACTGCCTGCCAGGGCTTGTGGCCCCACAGTCCCTCCGGCTGAGAGACGGAAATGCAGGACAGAGCAGGGAATACCTCTGGAGACACAAGAGGCTTACACTGAAAAATCAAGGTCTTAATAACTGAAGTCATATAACCTCTCCTTATTCATTTGTAGAACAACACACACTGGACGTTGGGCCAGCAACCACTTACTGGAACAATTAGAGGTCAGTGGTGATGGATAACCGATGCTGGTGAAGCTCACTGTTACATTTTATATTCATCAAGACTCTCTAGATTGTGAGTGATCTCCTTCGATAAAATTACCTAGTTGTTCAGAACAAAACATTTCTGTAAAAGATCATGGATTTTGCTAAAAATGTTAAACGTATTGTTAGGAGATCTACAGGTAGACAAATGGCTGCAATTACACTAATCAGATTTCCATTTACCATCACATACCTTTCATATGATGTAACAAAGCAAATGCTTTTAAATGGATTTGTCCAAAAATAGCAATTCCCCTGTCAACGAGATATATTTTAATACATTATATGGACTTTGTATTTAATGAGCTGGAAAACCTTTTTTATTATTCAAACTAGAGCTTTGTGAATCACAGTTCATCCAAGATAGGCTTTCCAAATCTTTGTCTCTTCAAGGAATTAACAAAAACCGATGCTCCTTAATTATCACCGAAAAACGTGGAGTCAAACCAGTCTGAATATGAACTGCAGCTACAAATATTTATATTAAGAGTAAGCATGGCATTTAAACTGAAGGCTATGAAACTGTAAAGGGGATCATGAAATGTTTAAGGCTAACCATGAGAATATACAAAAGGAACAACCTTTAGAGAACTGGGTTTTAATTTTCTATCCGAAAACTATACGAACAGAATGTTTATTCTTGCGTGCTTTAACTTTACAACATTAATGCATTATAGTTTATATAACAAACCATACGTGTTTCACATTTTATTTACAAAATATATTTATTTTATTTTTTATTACTTTCATGATATAAAAGAACAGACTTACTGACCCATTTAAAATAGACATTCATTCATTCAGACAACATTGTAACGACAGCTAATTTCAATAAAGTCTGTAACAAAACAGAACTCCTAAAAAGAATAGCAATAAAAAATAGTGCCGATAATATGTTGCAAATAAGAAGTTGTGAAAAATTTCTGAGGCTGTTGCCTCCCATATGTAACTGCAGCCTCATGCATTAAATAAAGATCCACAGAGAAAACTATTTTGCAGAAAGCAAATCTGAAAACCCACACCAGTGTACTAGTCCTGTTACAGTTCAATATGAAAGTATCTGTATTTGCATCAAAGACACAGTGGTCTCTCTTGAATTTGCATTTATGCAGATGTCTGTATTTCAGACAAAAGATCCCTTCAAGCAAGCAAAGGTTAAAGATGCACTGCTGTGAAAGCTACAGTATGTTCCTCTGCAATTGTCCTTTATACACAGCAGTACATTTGGAAAATTATGTTACCCAGAAAACTGCGCTGGCCCTTTTATGTATGAAACTAAAGACTGGAATGATGCGACATGCAATAGGGAACAGATAACATCTAAAGAAACTCTATTTTGAACAAAAACTTGATTAACAAAGGTTTCAAAGCGAATGCCAATAAAAAAGCCATGTCACTATTGCTGGCATTGCCAGGTCTTTTTATTTCTTTTGGCTTCACCGTCATCAGGAGTCCTGCAGCGTGATCTCCTTTGAGAGGGCGAGATAATTCCCTAGCAGGTCACACTCTAAAGATAAAGGACAGTCAGTTCAGTGCATGAAGCAGAGTGACCCTAGAGATTACTTACTAATGCAATCATGGAAACAACAGCTCACAACTGCGGCCAGCCGTACGTTACTGTCTGCCTTAAGATGACTTATTTTCATGGGATATCAGCCAAAAAAGGTCTTTCTTCATTTTGTTTATGAATTTACATTCGGTTTTAGAAGATTTCCTTCTTAGGTTATGCTGGAAATGTTGGTTGTTGGTTCTGTGTCTAGTCTTTGATGAACCTAAAAGTAAAGTGCTACTATTTCAAGGGAACCAATCCTTGAAAACATATTCAGCATTATTTAAGGATTATTACAAACACCTGATCATCACAGGTACTTGTTGCTAATCCTGTAAAAATATTTTACATGAAAAAATTCAGAATTTCTAACTTTTTAAAATTGTAGAAAATATTATAGCCAGTAACGCCTGGCACTGAGAATATTATGTAAGCCTAAACAGCATTCTGTCAGTGAATTTTTGTTTAACCTGCACTTAGTGCTTTGAGTTGACAAGTTTAACATGAATTTTATACTGTTATATTAGCAGTTATAAATTGGCTTTTAAGGACTGTACACGTTCTTAATTTAAAATTCACATGTATATGAGGCATTTTGTCATTTTAAACTAGTTATTAAAAGACAAATATGGTTCTGTAGTAAGGCACATTATCAAAAAGATTAGATTTATTTAACTTACTGAGAGTGGTGGTCACAAACCGCTTAAATTACAACTGTATGAGAAGCCTTCCTGCTGACTGATTGGAAATTCTCGGTCTTGCTTGTCGATGCCTTCCCTGCTTTTCAAAGTCAGACCGAGTTCTGAAGCCCAAGTTGCTCAAAGCTCTTAACAACGTCAAGGATATAATGTCCACAACAACACTGTTTTGATACTGTCGGCACAACCTTACAAACAAGCCGCCTCATGAGTTATCTAACTTACAGCATTCAGGTTATGGTTGTTCAGTCTGAATCCATCACTACAAATGTTTATCGGGTTTGTCAAGTGATTGGTTCAAATAGAAACTAACATTTATTTACTATGCATGTGGGGCAGCTGGTTGTCATAATATATAGAAAATGAGACTGATAACTGCACATATTTCTTAAATTAATTAATTAATACAATGGTAGAGCACTATTTTCCCTTTAGACTCCGGTATACAGTACTGTTGTATCATCTATCCAGTAGTTCGTTAGATCAGCAGTGCATGAGACTATATTCTTTATCTTTGTTTCAATATATGATTATGCTGATTTGTTTGGACTGCAGATCTCAAGCAAAAATATTTCTGTAAGGGAAAATTAAAGTCTCTGTATTTGCCCATTTATAAAGTAAATATTACCAAGTCGCTGCCCAAAAACAAATGTACACCAAGATCTCACATAAGCCTACAATGATCTTTTTCAGAAAGGCAGATTAATATGGAAAAATATCCCTTCTGCGATTCTGAAATTATATATGAATTTGGAAAACAGACTTATCCTTCAATAAATATTTTTACTGCAAACTATAGAAATGATCCCTGAAAGTAATGTGTCACTTCATGAAATCAGTCTGTTTCAAACTGAAATGGTCACAACATACTATTTTTACACTGCAAAACCTTTTTTGTACTTTTGTCTGTACTTTAAAACATTTTCTACGGGTCCTTTTTGTAATAAATAACTTTCAGTAGAATTAGAAATCTACTAAAAATCTAAAAGCTATTCTTTGAGACTTTTAACTACAAACCTACCTGTTACACCCTCATTACGTTGAGTATTTTTATTAAAGTACCGTGTCACTTTTGGGGTTAGAAAGAAATGGCATTTATGAGTGCATTTCAAACCACAATAAGATGCACACAGTAACAAGTAGACCCATCACAAAACACCGCGATTCAGAATGAGGCAACCAAATTTCCACTGAGGTGAACCAGCCCTATTATATTGTAAACAAGCAGGCCTGTGAATACATCTCTTTTAATACAAAAGAAATATTGCTCTTGACATAGAGATGGTTTTGTCAACAAATACTACTCACTTGTTAACTGTGCATGTAGATCACATTGGAACATTTCTTCATTCCTTGTGTGCTGCACAACCTGTACTTATTTGCTTTTACATCACAGTACATTAGTCCTTACAGTGACTAGTGAGCAGAAAGGGCCACTTCACTTCGCAATTTGCGCAAACTCGCCCAGGGGTTTGAGACAATATACAGTACTGTCACAAAGATCACTGTTTTCTGCTTAACTGGGAATTTGTTCAATTTTGCGATGCTGTAAATTAATTTATTTTGTTACCAAGATTTAATTACCGGTCTGAGAAATTTGGACTGCAGTTCCCCTTAAAATAATAATGAATAAAATGATAAAACATTAAATGTTAATACAGTTGCCCTATTTCAGCAACTGTTTCCAAATTTAATAACCACAGAAAATAGGCCAAAGCACTCTTCAATAACTATTGCAACAGAAGCACACTGCATCAGTCACCAGTGTTTCAAGAGCGGCTTGAATAAATCTGTGAAATCTTAAGGCAGAGAAATGCTGTGTGTCCAGATGTACAAACATGCATAGCTTGATTACGTTTTACAGACCGCAGAGACCGTTTTACAGACCGCAGACCCAAGCAAGTTGTTGGGAAACTTCAATATTTTAAAAAGTAACGTTTGAAGTGAAGCTAAGCAAGGCACATTTTGTATTCCAGTCAACAATGAGAACACGGCGATCTTGTTACTAGAAACTAAGGATTAACACAGCCATGGAATCCCAGCACCCTGTCTATCGGCAAGCTTTACTGTGAGGACTGCAATGTGGAGAATGACAACAATAAACTCTGTATCTGCTCTGGCTGTTACATAGCTGCTTTCTGGACTCACAGACCCCTTGTTTGTCTCTGACAATGGGTGTGTGTTTCAACGTATATGCCCTTCCTGTCTGTTTAGTAATTAGCTGTACTCATAAACATGTTCTAGACTAAATTTCTGCAGGTTGATTACAGTCAGCACCTCTTTGGTGAATTGATTCTTCTCTGACATGACCTGCCCAGCTGTATCCCCATCCCCTAAGGACTATCGGTATTTAGCATGATGGAACCAGGTTGGCTGCAGTAAAATGGGATGTCAGACTGTGATATGCAAAGGTCATAACTAAGAATAACATCAACTGCATAGCAGGACCAAGCAAGATATCTTGCGTCCACAACTCATCACTGCTCTGGACAGTGTCGTGTCAGTCACGCAGACAGCTTCAAAGTCATTCAAAGCCAGTAAGTGCACAGCTTGTTCAGCTTTGTGTACATAATCTAATTTCTATAGCCAATGATGCCAGAACAGTGCCACAGAGAGTGAGGAACAAAATGTAGAGACGCAGATTCAAACTTTCTTAGTGCGAGAGTGTCAGCAGGACATCCACCCTCACGTCACGAAACCCTGATGCTCTGTTCTGTCGTCTCCCCTTATATCACACAGCTGACAACTTTATTAGTGTCTCATCTCATACCATTATTCCTGTAGTTCACTTAGCACAAAACCAGGACAGGCACTGCTATTTTGAAATGCATTTGAAATGTTATTATGAGTTATTTTGTTAAGAGTCAATAAACTAATTTGGCACAATGTATAAAATCAAAAAAGATGGGATATGAGTAAGAATCAGTCAAAAAAACACAACACATTTAGCTTTAGTTTCACAAAACGATGTTTAGCATTTTCAGCTGCAGTAAGTTACAAGTAAAATGCTTTTTAATTGGACTCTTATAAAGACCTTTCATTATATTATATTGAAAGTTTTTGCACTGAATTTTTTCACATACTATTTTGACCTTGCATTCTGAACATTTTCCTGACCTACAGTATGTATCTAACTGCACTGTAAACTTAGCTTTTTAGTATAATTTAGATAACTTAAAAAATAAAAGACTCAATCGTCTCTCTACTTACTTCAAGGAAGGGCTTAAAATTAAAAAACAATAACAACTCAGTTTCCCTTTATGTTCAAAGTTTTCAGAAAATTAAATGTCACTAACAAATACTTTAAAATAACATTGTTCAGTTCTGAACCTTGATCCCTTAATTTCTGTATCATTAAAGACAAATTAAAAAAGCTTTCTAACCTTCAAAGAGACACGAAAACTGTGGCAACTGTGAGATTTCAAGGCTCCAGTCTGACAGGGTAATAATAGCTCCCTAACTGGCACTCAATCAAGAGATAATAGCTGTGTATCAAACAACAGGCTGTGTCACCCTGCCACCTCTACAGTGATGTCACAATCACCACCTTTGACCATATTCTTTCAGCGGTGGAACTATTTCAATTCGTTTTTGACAGGTCACAGCTTCCTAATATTTGCATGAATGTTCATTCAGAGGAAAACAACATTCTTAAGTTACATTTCTAGCAAGTATGTAAATTAGAAAGAATCATGAAAGTTTTACATGACTTTTCTGTGAATCCCCTTTCTAGCACACTTCGAAATTGAGGAGACAAGGCATCCATGTTTAGCTAAGTCAATTTAACTTTGGTAAACTGCATCTAATAAAAATGTGAGACTGGGCTTGAGGAACGATTTTATTAATCACTGTAGTATCTGCCATACATACTGACCACAGTTCTTCAAACATATTGAAGAAACTGCGCACTAAGAGGGAAATACCAAGACTAAGACTGGCTCAGAAAAATATGGAAAACATATTATGCAGCACAAAAGACGGTTTAAAAGAAACACTGCAGAAATCTTCTGTTTTTCTAGCAGAGACCCTGCATAAGAAAAAAAGAATTAAAACATGTGGAGGGCCCCATGGGCAAAAGTAGAAACAAAAGTAGATTAAATTAATAATGAGGAAAGTTTGCACATTTTATGTGAAAGAGTCAACTAAATGAATGATTGCATACATTCCTGATCCACCAGACACTTATTTTGTCTTATTTTTTCATGCTCACTTATCTGCCTCTTCTGCTGCTCCCTTTCTTAGCCCCACGAAGCCCCTGGCTCACCAGAAGACACTGCACTCCTTCTCTCTTGCCTGCACTCTCTTCACTAACCTCCAGCCCCCCTGCACTCTAGTCCTCTAATCTCACGTCCAGCATGGAGAAAGTTCAGCACATGACTCGCTCGGCTATCAGGAGGGCCTCCACCATCGAAGTGAACCCACAGACAAAACAGAACCTGCAGGAGCTATTTGTCAATTTCTGTCTCATCTTGATCTGCCTTTTGCTAATCTACATCATTGTGTTGCTACTCTGAACCCCCCGATCTTCACTGGACAGAGTCCAGCCGCCACCCAATGGGAGGACCACCTGAGCACATCTGTGAGGCTGCGGGCGGGGGGGGGGAGAACTGTCGTAGTTGAGCAACACGCGTGGGATTTGTTCTGTAAAAAATGTTGCAAAGGACATTATAGAATTAATCAAAACAATAATACAAAAATGATTTATCTTTTAGAATAAAAAGAAAATTGTTTTGGTTAGTCCACCATGCATGAAGGGTTTTTTGTTTTTGCTCTTTTCCAATGAGACTAAAAATTAAATAAATTTTACATGAAATCACTTAAGATTTGTACTGTGAAGGTCCGTTTCACTTTGCTTGTGAAACTTCGCTTTGCGTGCCTCACTGTAGCCTACTGCTGAGAGGGAAGCACAGTCACTCCCTGGCGATATTCCACCAGAGGCCTGGGCCTGAACGCTTCAAGCACACCTGCTCCCCCTTCACTCCACACCCTGCAGCCTGCAGCCTGCAGCACACGCTCGGACGCTGTACCAGTTTCACAGTCCGGCTCTTCTAGACCTCTGCTAGCACTAGCAGGGTGTGCGAGGGAAAATGTGTGAAACACCGAGCATCTAAGTGAGAAACTTTGCAACCAAACACTGGCTGAAATATACAACTTTCCTTCTATGACACCAGTTTGTCTCTACCAATATTTTCATGTTTCTATTTTACCTCTTAAAAAGATTTGCTAATGAATGCTTTGCATGTCCTATTTCATTTCCCTTGCGTATCTATGAATGTTATGCCACACATGGAAATATTATCACTGTACATAATTCTTAAATAACTTGACAGCACTTCCTTTGTATCTAAACTTAACTGAAATATATTTACAGCTAAGATATTGTTAAAATAAATCCCAAAAAATACAAGAAACCAGAAAGAAAAAACAAGACAATTTACAAATCTACCAGACTGATTGGTTTAGGTTTGCTTTGTACAGTAATTACTTAAAAATCCAAGGCCCAATTAAATTCTGTATTTGTATTCACACATTATAAACTATGGAAAGGTTAAGTATTACATATTGGCTCAAATATGATGAAATTGCAATCACTGTAAATACTTGATTCAGGACCATACAAATTATCATAGAAACTGAGTCTTCTTCTCAGGCTAATAACCAATGTATATACTGTAGAATCTTTATGAAACCCAAGTTCTATATACTGTATATTGTTCTACAGCAACTACTCAAAAGCTGGAATAAAACAATTTTCACTTATAGCACCCAAAATTCAAATTCAAAGGGATACTTTTTCTGCCAGAATGATGGCATTTATATCTGTAGAATATATCAAATTTGAATACTCAAAATGAATAATGTTACATCTTTTTTATCTTTAAAAATGATCTGTGTGTTTTTGCATTCAGATGCAGAGATCAATATTACAATTACACTACTTTAGTCAGAGGAGTCATTTAACACAGATGTTAGTGTTTTTACAACATAAAGGCAGAATGGTCTCCTCTTGCATCTAACATCTATAATATGTTTTTTTCTGACTACTGTATCTCACCCATCTCTTCCTTGAAAGCAGAAAGCTCAGATGGATAGGTAGCTTTTCTACCACAAAATTGAACAAAATGTTATTTATGCTAAATACAAAAGGTGTATGTTGTTAATATTTTCTTTTGTGTCTTCTGTTCAGTCCACACACATTCTGAAGCACATGCTGGCAGTTCAGTTGATCTAGTCCAAGATTTTTAAAACAAGTCAATTCAACAAATGGTTCACAACACAGAAACAGCTGAGAGGACAGTTTCATTTCTGCTGTCTCCCTAGTAAGGTTGTTCACAAAGGGAATAGAAATGATAGAAAAAATTTCATTTGCTTGGTTCTAACAACAAAAAGGCCCAAAAGCTCAAGAGGAAGCAGAGGTGAAGCTCGCAGTTTGTCTGCTGGCACAAATGAAGTTCAATCCATTCAGCTTCTTTGCCCACAACAGCCTGGAGAGCACACTGAGCCGCAGCTTGGTTTCTGTCTGTTTTTCTCCCCCCAGTAGCTGAATCTGCTAATGCTAACAGGACGCTTGAAACACAGCAGGATGGAGTAGTCATCTCTCAGCTGTCTCCCTGCACGAGTCCTGCAGCTCCAGCCCCCTGGAAGACAAGCCCCCAGCACAGCCTCTTCCCAGCATGGACCTGGCAGTCAACAGAGGACTGAACCTCCTGCTCAACTTCCTCCTCATCGTCTTAGTGCTCATCCTGATGCTCATCCTGGTCAAGCTCATGTGAGGCGGCCGCCCGCAGTGCCCCTGAGCCATGCGAGACCCTGTGCGGGCCGCTCTGAAGGCGCTCGGGGGCAACGTGACCCGCGACAAAGGTAGTTTATTTATGCACCTGAATAAAATAAAGAGCCTCTAAAACAACTTCAAGGGATTTTAGTGCAGAAGAGCAATAAAGCAGGAAATATGATTTTATATTAAACAACACTGTCATAAAAGACTTCCCCAAATTAAGTCTAATCTTACAATTAACAAGTACAACAAGAAGGCCTGTTAACACAAATACTCTGGCAATGGACCACAAACTGAAAAAAAAACCACACACAAAAAAGTGTCTATCTGTGTAGACTGCTCACAAGAGCAACATCAATAAAAGTCAAACAAAAATCTCTAAGTGGCTTTAATGGGTGGAGCAGTGGCTTAGGATCTGCTCCTGTGGCTGGAAGGTTGCCGGTTAATATCCCGTGGCTGGCAGAGGAATCCTACTCCATCGGGCCCCTGAGCAAGGCCCCAACTGCTCCAGGGGTGCCGTATTAATGGCTGACCCTGCGCTCTGACCCCAAGCTTCTCTCTCCCTGTCTGTGTGTCTCATGGAGAGCAAGCTGGGATATGGGAAAAGACAAATTCCTAATGCAAGAAATTGTATATCATCAATACAGGGATCTCATCTTATCTCTTACCTCTTATGTTCCCAACTAGAACTGAGGAAGTGACCAAATGACAAATGGTGTGCTGGGCTCCCTCTGGTGGTAAAAGATGATAACTACATGAAGAAGTAAAATTAATGGCGGTCATTCCAGATAAGATCTTCAACAAATTCGCATAGGCAGGGCAAGCCAAGAATTATGAGATCCCAGCAGTCCATAGTCCTAATCCAAGTCACTTAATGTTCAGAACAAGGTGCAGAACCATTTGCTGAGCCAGAACTGCAGGAGTGCTTGAGAAGCGGATGGTATTTGAAATCACCTGAAGAGGCTTAGTACAATAAACACAGCTCAGTTTTTCAGTTCCTAACGGTGTGATCAATCACGTTAACTTACCTGGGGTCACTTTAAAAGTTTTCTTCTTATCCTGAAAGGCTATGTGTGTTTTTAAATACCATGTCCACAATTGCTTTACAACAGTCAATGTATGAATGTATAATAGGGATCACACATTATATCTTTTCTTTATTTTATGTGGGATGAGATCTGAAATATAGTGACATTTCTCAATTAAACATGTACGGGTTCCTGTTCCTGTGTAGTAACATATTGTATTATTCAGATGTTATGGCTGTAAAATACAACCCTTGTATAAGAGAGAATGCTAGAGTAACAGTGGATTACACTAAAGTAAACTAACCCTTAGGCTTCAGAGACCACTGACATTTTAAAGAACTGCACATTTTCCCTATGCACACGAAATCTATGTGTAGGACCTTGAAACTTTACTCACTCATATTTTTCTTGTTACATAAGAGAAATGTTTCTTATCTGAGGCACTTGCTGAAATCGACTGCAGCACTGCTACTTTCCTCTAGCCTTGCTGGTTGGGTGTGTTATACACTGTGCACTGATCTCCACCCACTGCCACGCTGCCCAGCCTACTCACATACTCGTTGCTTTTATAAGTATGTCATTAAATGCAAGTAAAAAGATTTTTTTTAATGTATCGCTTCTGGAAGGCATTTTAAGCTCTTTTGCACAGTGTGAGGTTTTATCACAGACATTTGCTAGACAAGCCGAATAACCTCCTCCTGTCTGCAATCATTCTCATGAAAGGTGACATCTGAGCAAGGTGCACTCCTCCACGAAGTGAGTACACTAGTTTGTACTCCAGGTACAAACAAACCTCCTGAAGACCTGGCATGTACACCTCACTAAACGGTAACGCAATGCATTTTACACAACTTATTTCTTGAATTGGATTTCAAAAGTTTCCATCATATCCCTTACCTACTATCACAGCTGTAATGTTATATATACATTCATTTGGCAATACACTGAAATTCAGTAACAAGGGATTTGTCAGGTAGAAGAAGTCCAATTTACTGGCAAGCAATGAGCCTGATGACTGACGGAACAAAGAAGCTAAAGACGTCTTCCAGAGTGTCAGCCTCCATAGTGCTCACGTCGCCAGCATGATATTTGGTTTTCATCGGTATTGGATTGGAACAGTGTGATTCTAATAAAAAGGCATAACCTGCCAAATGTTCAGCATGTCTACATGTAAATTCACAGATTCATGTGGTTATCTTTGTATTTTACATAATCATCCATTTTACTATTTTAAGCATGTAGATGTTTGTTCGATGCAATAAAAAATAAAATACACGGCACTGCTCAGGTTTTTGGCACAATTATGTTACCAATTATGTTACTTAATTATTTATTTTTAGCAAAAGGATTTGCCTTTTAAATAAAGAGGAAGCAGTCAGCTTCACTCTGGCTTGGGTGGGCAATCTTTAACACCCTCCCGCTCCAAAAACAAAGCCCATCCTCTTGGACAGCTAGGATGTGAAATCTGTTTTTCCAAACCATTCAAAATGTAAAAAACTGAATTGAATTCATAAAATATATTGCATATCCCCCATAAATAAGCTTGGATTTCCATAGATTTAAATAAATGTATATAAAAAAATAAAGCTTGGATTTCTATGTCCAGTATTATTTAGTAAAAAGGGTAAATGAGTCTCAGTTTGAAGCTTGCCCTCTGTGGTGAGTGCCTTTGAAAATTCTTAATTTACAATGTGAAATAGGGTATGAAGACAATTATATTCTGAAGTTTTCAGAAAGATTTGCACTAACAAAGCTGCTTGCTCTTATGCAGCATTCCAGTATGAAACTACAGCTTAGTGAAACAACTTAGTGAGCATGATACACAACAAACAAAATGGTTTAACTGTCAGGCAGCCATGTTAATTTTTAATACACACCTTAAACCTTGCCTTCTTACTGGAGAGAAGAGAAGGTAAAAGGATGTCTTTTTCAAGATATAAATATCACCACATAAAAACAACTGTGTCAATTTCTCAATTCAGTTTCAATGAACATGAACACCCAAAGAGGTGTGCCATATCTTCCAAAGGACACTGTGATACACCGGGACCTAAGGACACTGTGATACACCGGGACCTAAGAATCTATTTTTTAACACTTGAATCCACAGGTGCTAATGGCACAGAAATATTCATTAATGTTCTGTGATTTGCTCTACTGTAACATGTTTAAATGTTCTTTATTTTAGCGCTGCTGACATGTTGCAAAATAAAAATCACAAAAAGATAGTTAAGAACAAAAATGCACAGAGCTGGAAAATATATATTTTTGTATTATTTACCAACTCATTCTTTAAAAGTACTATATATTGCTTTTCAGATGGTAACACAGTAGTTTAAAAAACATTTTGTCTATGAATGTATTTCTCTGCCATGGATTATGAACTGTTTAGTCTAACAGAGGGTTGGGGTGAACTGCTGTTGAGCACCACAACACCTGGAAAAAATCTACAAGCACCAACTTCCCCCAGAAGGTAACCCAAGACATGTGAGGCAACATTGCTAACTACCACACCGCATTGAAAACTATTAAAAAACAATTAAATAAGTGAATGTATTTCATTACTTTCTGGGCTTTCTGATTGGTTGTGATGCCGACTAGTCAAGTCACACCTAAAAACACCAGATATTCCGATGCAGCAAGTGACAAGCAAGGCAGGAAGATCTTACTGCAATATCGGCTTTTGTCCACTAGGGGGAGACAAGTGGTCATGAAACCGTGTCTCGCTCAGCCCACTCACCTCCATCAGTTCAGCCTCTTTCCGGAGGCGCTGCAGCTGCTGCTCCTGCTGCCAGGCAGCCACCGCGCACAGGCCCTGCGGAGCTGGCCTGCTGTAATCCACGGGGTTGGAGTGCATCTGCTCACTGAGCCACATCTGAGTTCTCACAGCTGGCTGGATCGGCGAACCCCCCATCGCCTGGTGCCCCAGAGGCAGACACCTCTGCCCAGAGGCCTGCTGGCCAGCTACTGCTTTGCTTTCAGGTAAGGCACTGTAGGTCAGGTCTAAGGAACTGGGCTTCAGAGGAGAAGGAAGGGGGATGTCGGCTTTGTTGCTGTTAGCGTACTTATTACACCTGGGGCCAGAGATGGGCAAGAGTTTGGGGTGACTCTGGGGGTCCTCCAGCGTGAAGGGCTCCATGCCCCGGTGCGAGTGGTCTAGCTGGCAGCTGTACAGCTGGGCTTGATCTGTCACAGATCCGCCCGCGAGATTCTGCGTCTCCCCCTTGGAGCTGGGACTGTGTCGGTCCGCGGCGCTCAGCCGCGTGAGGGAGGACCACCTCCGCGGCGGCCGGGGGTCCTTCATGTCCAGCGGGCTGTCCAGGGGGTCCGCCCTCCTCGTGGGCAAGGTGAGGCAGGTGCTCCAGGCACTCCCGGACAGAGGGGTGCCGAGCTGGGAGCCGGAGGTGGAGGGCATGACGTGGGCCGTGGGGATGGCCGTCTGGGCCCTGATGGGTCTGAAGGACAACGTGCCACTGGAGCTCAGGTGATCTGCAGACACAGCAAGCGACAGCAGAGGTCAAGGGATCGTTCTCCTACACTTGAGACAGTTTAAAATCCACAGACTCATATTACTAGACAACTGGGAACTTGGGAAAGGTTTTACGACAAATACTGTGCAAAGCAACCTTGTGGCATTTTGCCCCTGTTCTTCATAGAATTAAAAACGTGTTCCTGTTGTTAAAAAACAACAGATGCACAAAAGCTGATCTACTCTCTCTCCCTGCTAGATGTTCCATATTTCTAAAGATTAAGCACAGTATGTGATCTGCACAGAGACGGCCTGCAGACCATAATACATAGTGATGACTATTTGGCTTTGCATCTGTTTGATCATGAGCCAAACTTTATAAAAGCCCCGAATTCAGGCACCACTGAAGAAAAAAAGTAATCCTGCCCTCTGGAAAAGAAAGCATTTCAGATATCACAGTAGTTGAAGGTTAAAACTGGATTTAAATACTTTAATGTTTCATTTGTCATCTTCTTCACAGACATCTTTAGAACAAACCTCTCTCTCTCATACATCTATTTCCCCAGAGAGATCTTCCTACCACACGACGGCAGCTTGGCTTGTTTTAAAACACCTAGCGGGGTTTTCTGAAACCCGACTATTAAAGGGGTTCAGAAATAAAGATTTTACTGCACACACAACCCAATGATCAGACTCTGTTCTGTTTAAAACCATATTTCATATTGATGAAATATGCAGAAATATGTTTTCCAGCTCCTAAATCATATGAAGTAAATATTAACATATTACATACATAAACTGCCCTGCAGGTATAGAGTCTTGCTCCTAGGAAGTCTTGACTCATATGAACAGCGTACCTCATGCATTAGTTATAAGATGCTTGCCACATCACAAAAGACTTATGTAAGAGCTTTATGATGCTACTAGATGATATGCATCCTAGGAAACAAACAAACAAACAAACAAACAAGCAAGCAAGCAGCAGATGTCCAACTACTATGCTTTCTTTAAGGCGCCATACAAACTGGAAAAGCGGTATTGAATTTGATACAATAACAACAGTTAATGAATCAACCTGAGCCCTAGGCACAGTACTTCTCATTGATGTGTCACCTTTAGTTTGGGAAAGAGAGAAATACCTTGTGTGGCATCCCACACCAGTTTCTTCAAGGGCCCAAATTACACATGATCACTGTCCACAGAAATATGCACATGTCTTTAGACTATTTCTAGAAATGCAGAGTGAAAAATATTATACGAACATATACCAAGTCCCATCTAGCTTATGTTTTTAGCAGTTATTTTGGGTTTAGTACTCTCCTAAAAAAGGTGGTGGTGTCAACATAACTTGATACGGTCACAATGCACAACATCTTTTGTACAGTAGTGTGCCCTGTTCTTTTTTGAAAAGGCACTTTTCCTTAGATCCAATTTGGGTCCTCTGGTGCGTTTCATTGCTGATACTGAATAAACTCACTGGGTAACTTAGTCAATGCCTTTTTGAATTACGATTAGTTTAAATCCATTCATAGTGTTCTCTGTTCATAACAAAAAAACTATACTATACTTTCTAGACTTTACTTTTTGTATTGTGGCAACAAAACCTGAACAGAATATTTTAAAAAGACACTACCCACTGCATTATACACTTTAAATACAATATTTCTGATTTTAAATTCTAAAACTTTTGCTAGATATCTTAACGTTCTGTTTGCCTTTTTACCATTACCTAAAATGTTGTGTTAACATAAACACTACAATCTTTTTCATCGGTAACCTCTTCAAAGTGTTGGTCATTTGTACTTGTAGTTTTTTCTACTTGCACATAACTCTCTACTTGTCTATATATAAATGTCATCTGCCAGGTGTCCAAAAGTCTTGTCTGTCTAAAACCGTGGTTCTCAAAGTGTGGTACAGGTACACAGAGAGCCCCCAGGTGGTATGCCAGACGACCCTGGAAATGTATTGTGTGCACTGAAAATTTGGAAATTAAAAATTGAATAATTAAAAATCATTTTCATCTGTAATTTACTTAATCGGTTTCAGGAAGCCTGAGGCATGTTTTCATATTTTCTATTTTAATAAAATTAGTTTATGCGTCAAATACGCAGCCTACGTACTTACAGTAGCTACGTCATACAGGTCGCGCTAACACGGGAGTGGACACAAGGGCTGCTAAAAACAAAGTATCGTGTTTCGGACCAATGGCACTCTGTTTATAACATGTACACTTGTTTTCTAGGCATTAAACAGGTCTTAATCCAAATACATGCACTTCTCTGAATAGCTGACATCTTAAATTTGAGAACCAATATTTTATAAGGAACTATTTGAAAACCTTAATAGATGTAGATGCAGAGTTTATTGTCATATGTACACGTACATTAGAATTCAGAATTGCATGGATCTCTCGGGACATACACAGTACACAGACAACACCACACAATGTAGAGAGTACATTACAAACATAATAAATAATAACATGTTATAGTGTTGTGGGGCAATAAATATGTAGCAGTGAAAAACAAACATGGCAAACCATGCAAAAAGAGGCCCTGCAGTTAGCTGTTGAGGATGCGCACTGCAGTAGGGTAGAACCTGTTCCTGAGTCTAGTGCTCTGTGTTTTAACAGTCTGGTACCGCTTGCCGGAGCGCAGGGGGGAGAACAGGCTGTAGTTGGGATGGCTGGGATCTGGAATGATGGATTGGGCTTTATTGTGACAGCGGATGGTATGAATCTCTCCAATTGATGGTAAATCACATCCTATAATCCTTTGTGTCATTCCCACAACCATAATATGCCGTATCATATGCTCTGTTTGTAGTACAGCTGTTGTTTGTCCAAAGACTTCTAACAAGTTTGTTAATTAAGACCTGTTTTTCCTTAAGCCACTGTTAAGCATCTGCCTCTTCTGTTCTAATACTATTATAGATCAAAGTCTCTCTTCCTTAGTGAACACCTGAGCAATATATTAATTCCCCTTTTATCTCTGCAATACTTCATCTTTTACAATTCTTTTGACATTGTAATACCAAAAAATCTTTTTAACCTCTATCACAATATTTTCCATCTCTTAGCATTTTTACTATCCATTTTGATCTGCACTAGAAGCTTATGAAATTCCTTTCCTTTAAAGAGATCCTGTTCCTTATTAATGGCTTTATAAGGTATTTCTTTCTCCCTATATTAAACCACAGGAGCCACAGGTTTCCAATTTCAGATTTGCTTATACCCGAAGAAAGTCTGTTCTGCACCTCAAGTATAATATCTTTAAACTATTACCATCCAATCCAATGATTCCACAACCATCTTACCTCATTCTATCTACTTCATTTAAACTCTTTTGTATTCTTAAAACTGTAAACCATTTTTGAACTCTACCTGTACAGATTAAGGTACAGTACTTCATATCATGTTACGATAGTGACTCTCGCTTCTGACTTCCTTACTCTGTCTTTCTTGTGTGAAATCGGGACCATCTCACTAAACACAAAGCAAAAGTGATTTTATGTGGTTGTTTAGCTGACTATGCAACTAGCCTAAGACCTGATATATGAAATCATATCAGCAAAAAAGTCAGTGGATTGACTCTCACAGTGGCTCTCGGGAGGAACTATTAAAGTAATACAGACATAGTCAAAGTTAATTTCTTTCATTTATGACATGCATTTTTTTTCTTCAGAACTAGACTTTCATGTTATTCTTGAAATATGTGAGAAGTTCAAGCACACATTCAGGTTCACTTTATGTCCGACAAAAATCAAAATTCCATGAAAAAATTAAGCGATGCAATCTAGTTTCACAAGACTTCAGACGCACCCATGATCAAGAATATTCTGACAAAGGAAGTACGGACATAAGCAGAGGAAAAGATCAAAACTTTCTTTCAAGTTTTCATACAGTATGTGATGTTAAAAACACAAATCTGTGATGCAGCACATCTTGAAATTCATAGGCAAGAGCTGCAGGAACCTGACTTAGAAAAGGAGTGAAGGTGAAAACTGCTGAGGGAACATGCAGAAACCTGGGGGCGGAAAGCAGGAGCTTCTGCCTGCTCAAGATCAGAATATGCAGAATATAGAGGCAACATGAGTCAGATGCGTGTGGTTTCACCCACAAGTATCTGCCTGCTTCTCACACACAGTAATCCCTTCCACAGGGTTGCACAGCTACGCTGCCAGGTATATTTACTGGACGTAACATGAAAATATTAATCTTTAAATATATTCATGAGGATTGTAAATACAATAAAAAGCTCACAAAAACTTTGAATGGTTAATAGTCAAAGTTTCTGAAGAATTGTTTTTCGATGTAACCTTTATCTCGAGCGCTGTGTTCTGTTAAAGAACTGGTAGCCTACAATAGGGGATTGCAGTAACATGACAGTGTATTCCCTTCCTGTAAACAGACCTTTCTTTACTTCCTATGTTGTAAACCACAGAACAGAGTAGAGTGACGCAACAAGTAAAGCAGTAGAAAGGAACCAGCTGACAAAAATATCAGAATATTTCCCAACATCTCTCTCCAAAAAGAGACTCTTCCAGAAGAAACAAAGGGAAGCTCCTGAGACTGTGGAGGAAGTATGATCTGCATCGGAGACAGCAGGCACCGAGAGCAACACCCTGCACTCGACAAATTCCAGGGACACAAATGAGCTGACAGCAGCTGGGAATGGGCTGCATTAAACTGGGAGGGTCAGAAGACATTAGAAGACCATGGCAGAAACAACTCTGATTCCACTTTCTTTCAAACCTTTAGTTGGCATTCATCACAGCCTAAAGTTAATGATTGATGAACGTTCTTTTTTCCCCCAACTAATACTTTAAATGCATATATTTTAACAAGTGCAGCATTTCATACCACAAATTAAGGTCTTCGTAATATATGAAGCTTAATTTACACAATAAAAGACACTTGCAGTTGTTTCTTAACATTCTAGAGTTTAACATTTTCACCTTTTGGTTTCATTTCTCAATACTTTTATCCTGCTGAGTCAACAGTTCGTGAAACAGACTAAAA